GAGGATGCACACACTGATTTTTCTAATTTGCTCAATCTAGTAAGCAAAAATGTAAAAATAAAATAAAATGATTTCAATATAAAAGTATTAGGTGCAACCACAACACTTGAAACTCATTTAAGATTCTAGAAATCAAGAAGCGACAGATATTTTTCATTCCAAAAAATTAAAAGAAAAAAGAAAAATAATACAACGGATTTCCTTACTAGATAATAGAGAGAGTTTAATGCAAAAGGAGAAACGGAGTTTCTTCTCACATAATTGTGAAATGTACAATCAACCAAATCCAAGCATATGTTTTTTAGTTGAATAAAAAATCAACTTGACTTAAAAATTGAGAATTGTATTTGATTGAATCAAAAATGGAGAAGAACTTCAAAATTCTCCTATATGATGAATTTTCATATTTTGGTCAAATATTCAGACAGAAGGTCTCAAAAACAGTTAAGGTAAAAGAAAATAAATCTTTTAAAAAAAAATTAGAAAACAAATTTATTTAGAGTAAATATAAGTATATCATAGAAACAGGGAAGACTCTGTTGCTATCACCACAAATTTATTTAGAGTAAATATACGTACATCATAAGGTTGTTGGTAAAAAAAACAACTCCCAAACCCCTGAAACATAAAACAAATACATATAAAAATAAAAGCATTCAAACAAACTCAGCAAGCTCAACCAAATTCTTTTTAACACCTCTATACCTTTCAACCTGACTCCATGTTCCACCTTCTCAAATTCAACATGAGCTCAACGAGCTGAAAAATACAAGAAGATGTCAGACTATTGCCCCCTTTTCAACTTTCAAATCTTCACCTTCCTTACTGCATCAATGCTCCTCACAAATCATTAACCGAGTACTAAGAGATTAGAACATACTCTGTTACCTAAAAAGCCTCCCCTACTTTAACAAGGGTGGCTTTTAAAAGAACCCAATTGATGTAAGCAAGCATAAATAAATTTGAGGGAGATAAAGATATCACAATTGATTACATAATACAACATTACTACAAGAAATTTTTTTTTTTATGAAGAAAAAAAAATTAAAATGGGAAAGAAATATTTGAAAAGGGCATTTCGGGGACTAATTAGGAAAGTACTTTTATGTGTAGCTCGAAAATTAGATCTTTTGATGGAACTATGCTACACAGCCATTGGGCCTTCCCATTTCGCGTTGCAGTTACTAAAATTTTCAAGTCTCTATATCAAAGTATAGTTATTTAGATGCCCTCTAATAATCAATCATCAAAACCTTCGGCCAAAAAATTGTTACATTGTCCTAAACGGCACCAAATTGTTCAGGCGATGTTTGGATCAAAATCCCCCCTCAAATTCTTGATTCACGGCCATTGGGAGCACTTGTCCATTACTAAGATCGTAGGTGGGCTTAATTGCAATCCCATGTGTGGCCATGGCCGCTTCCAGCTGACACTGAAACAGAGAACCACCAAGAGCACCGCCCCCTTCCCGCCTCACCATTGACAAAGTCCCATCACTCCGGCCCTCTTGCCAACTCAACCCTGTCACCGGCCTTTCCCCAATCCCAAACCCATGTCGTTGTCCCAACAACAGAACCCCCTGCCCATCCGGCCTCCTCAACAAAGAATCCGCGGCCAAAGGCAACCCTTGGCTGCCTTGCTGCATAAAAATCTCTCTTTCCATCATGATTTCCCTAACAACTTCCCCTTCCAGCTCTCGCCACCGCAACAGCTGCTCTGCCGTGAGAATCTCCTCCCTTATCCTCCTCTTCTCCATTTCTCTGACAATCATCATCTCAGTCATATCTAATGGGTTCCCCATAATTTCACTCCTCCGATGAATGTTTGGACGATTACCCAACAGAGCAGCTAATAAAACCACAAAATCAAAACACACAAACACACACATTAAATACCCACATACATTCTTACATATATATGCATAATGTAAAAACACAAGAACAAGCAAAATACAGTGATCAATAGAAAGAAACAGAAAGAGGGTTAAAAGGGTTTTGGTATATATATATACATAATTTAAAAACACAACAAGAAGCAAAATACAGAGATCAACAGAAAGAAACAGAGAGAGGGTTTAAAGGGATAATCTAAAAACAAAGAAAGAAGCAGAATAACGTGATCAATCGAAAGAAACAGAGACAAGGTTTTAAAGGTTTTTTTTTTTTTTTTTTTTGTGCGGCGAACCTTGCATTTCTTGATCGATGAAGAGGGGGGTTGACTGAAGAGGCCGCCGGAATGTAAGTTGAATTTCCATCTCCATCGGTTCCAACCTTAATCTCCATTTTCTACTATATGAACAGAGAGTGTTTTGATGATGGGTTTGATTGTGTGTTCAAATAGTTATATCATCAATAAATATACATTTATAGTTATAGTTATAGAAAAGAAAAGGTAGGAGATCCTGACATGGTAAAAGCATTTGATACCGCAGTGTACTTTTTTAATGTGTTTGGGTTTCAATTTTTTATAGCTTTGGAAGTTGATTGGTTGTTTTGGGGATGATTTTGTGAATATTTAAAAGTTATTGGACTTGTTTGTAATTAAAGTAGAGACTGTGTCGTTACGGAAGGTTTTGAAATTCAGTTGGTGCGGTTGGTTTTGGTTTGGTCCGATTGTTTGGTTTGGAGTCAAAAATTTTTACTCTAGAAGACTTCTTGTTCCTTGTTTGTTATAATTGTTTTTGAGAACTGTTTTAAGAATTTATTTATTTTTTCAAAAATGTCCCGTTTCAGGAAAAAGTTTTGACCAATTTTTAGAGTTCTCAAAAGCTGATTTCATTGTATTCTCAAATTTTCATTAATCAAAATGATAGGAAAATGACATTCAAAACCTAAAAAATTAAATAAAAAATAAAAACAATACCAAACAGACTTTTCTCTCTTTTTTTGGTTGGTTAAGAAAATAAATATATATTTGTCAATTTTTTGTTAGTTTAGTTTCTTATAAAAAAAAATAATAATATTTTTTTAAATAATATATATCAGTAATTTCATTTTTCTTTCCTTTTTCATCAATGAGTCTAATTTATCCTTAAAAAAGATAAGAATTATATAAATCCTTTCAAAACCTCTTAATATTTTAAAATTTGTTTCTTTTATTATAATACCCTCATATATATGTATGTATATCATAATACAATCACTCTCTGCTATCTCAATCTCTCTTCTCTTTATCTCGCTCTTATCACTGTTGCTCTCTATCGGTGCTACTGTCACTCTCCACCAGCACCACTACCACTACCACTCACCATGGAACTTTTTTTCTACCGTCTTTATCACCGCCGTCACTTGTTGCATCCACAACTTCAAATCTGAGATCATTCACAGTCATCATCACTGAAAAATGACGGTTCGCGACGATTCGCAAAACCTCAGATCTGAGAGCCTTCACTTTATCTCTTTCTAGTTTTGATGATTCATGCTTTCTCTCTCTCTCTATGTGTTTGTATGTGTTACTCACCACTTATGTTCTCTCTCACTCTCTCGTTTCTTTTTCTTCTTCTCATGATACTCTCTCTATCTTCTTCTCATGATACTCAGTTATTCAAACAGTAAAATTTTACTTTGGTTCATAACATAGCACTCTCCTGTAAAGTCATCATCGCAGCTTGTTTTAGAGTAAATTTTTTTTTTTTGAATCGTAATAAATTTTACTTTGATTCAGAGTAAAATTTTACTTTGTAATAAATAAATAAAAAAGAATAAAAATGTACTCGGAATCGGAGCAAAATTTATTATGATTCAAAGTAAAATTTTACTGTCGTTAAGCAGATCATAATGTTGTTAACTAGAGTAAATTTTTACTGTTATAAAAAACAGAATACATACTAAATTAAGAAATCATAGTCAAATTGTACTTTTAGATTTATAAACAAACAAACAAAAAATTTTTGATTTTTCATTACAATATCTCGATTTCTCTTTTTCTATCAAATCTAAGTTCTTTTATTTTAAATTTGAAGTTATTAATCTCAAATATGATTTCGTAGATATCAAACTTGAGAGGGTGGTGGTTTGACGATAAAAATGGTGGTTGTCGGCCGACGGCGAGGATGAGCGACTTCGGCAGACGAAGAAGATGGTGGAGACGATGAACAACCATCGAGTTGGTGAAGATAGAGAGATGTGGTGAAGATAGAGAGATGTCGTAAAAGAAAGAAAAGAAACAGAGGATATAATGGTCAAGTAAAATATTCAAATAACAAATTTTGTCTTTTATACAAGACTTTATAATTATGAGTGAGTTTTAAAAGTACTATTTTTTTCTGGGGGGGATCCTTTTAACAAGAAAATGAAGCTCGGAGGGATTAATAATCAAATTTCCCAATTTTGAATGGGGAATTTGGTCAAAACTTCCTCATAATAAAATGGACAAATAGAAATAGTTTTTCTTAAAAAGTCCAACACATACCACTAGTACTAAATATTAAACTTTAAAATAATATAATTTTGATTTAGATGTCGATTTTTAATAGAATTAATATTTTTAGAATTCTCTCATCAAGATCTATCAAATAAGATCCACGTTGACTATGAAATTCTTAAAAAAAAATTATTACCGTCGAAATTGTTGTAAACAATAACATGTTACTCTATCTCACAGTAACATGTTACTCCTGCAATATTGTCCAAGAAGAAACTAACAATATTTTACTTTATCCTTACTTAATTATGCGCCTCCTCCTTGGAAATTTATGAAACAAAATAAATTAAGTTATTTATTTCACCAAACAAAAGTCCAATGGAGAGGCTTGACTAAATTTCCAATTTTGAATCCAAACACAACATTATAGTTTCTAGTTAATTTTCTTTACAGGTCTTTTTTCTTTCCTTTTAATTTTCCTTCACAAATACAAAATTCAACCGCAACTTGTTTATCATTTTCATTTTTTGTCACTAATAATTTTTCATTAGTTTGGAAACATAAACAAGGAAAATTTAAAAAACATCGACATCTTCAGCAGAAAAGAACCAATGATTTTGAAGAAAAAACAAGCAGGGTATATCAAAACCATTATCAAGCTAATATAGACTGCTAAACTAGATGACAGTTGAACAACTTTGATCCAGATCTATTTTGTACAAGTTACTTGCAATTATAACATCGTATAGAAAAAGGAAAAAAACACACCACACAGTGAATCTCAATGGTAAATTTGTAACCGGCCCATCTTTACCGGCCAAACTGTCTTCAGTTACAGAGACAACCAAGGATTGTTGAATATCCTTGGAACTACAGCTCGCACCAACGCAATCTGATGACACATTGATAAACTTGTCACGGGCTTGACTCAGTTTCCGCTGGTTTCAATTCAGTATCGGCTGGGTTAGAAGTTGAGGATTTCTCGTCTGCAGCTGCAGTAGCAGACTGATTTCCATGATCAGAAGTCGAGGATTTCTCATCTGCATCAGCAGCAGCAGCAGCACTCATGGGGTTTCTTGAACTGCACCAAGATCATGGTCATGTTGTCACATCCCTCACCGCCAGAAATAGATGGTGCCAAACACCTATCAAGTACTCTTTCACATACCACAGAAAGCTTGCTTTCATGCATAATTAGGAAAAAAAACAAACAAATTTTTATATTTGATTGAGGTACCCAAAAATTTGCATTGCCAAATTCAACTTCTGCAAGAATTCTAAGATTGTCAAAAGCTCAAAAAACTGGTCACTAAGATCAGCAACTCTTTCAACAACAGGTGGTAATGTATTACAACAAACAATTTATGATGTCGACAGTGAAAGCTCAAATATCAGAATTGAAAAAATGAAAACCATGCATATCGTAAATGTACCACCATTGATACACATAGCCAGTGGGGGTTGACAAAGCTTTGCCCAAGAGTCGATGTGTGGTGAGAAATTTATTTATGTATAACATTACCAACAATACTTATGTACCCAGAGAGACAACCACAATCCCAACCAATATAACACATGCTTTCTCTCTCTTTTCTTGCAAGGAAAATCTTATTCCAATTTCAGTATCAATCACTAAGCATGCATTTCTACTTTTGGTCCATGGCAAAAAAAAATGCATGTACTTGCTTAAGTAGCTTCTTCAAAGTGTACTATTGATAAGAATTACCACACTTTATTATATATGCCTTATTCCACCAATACAAATGCACATAGCAAAGAGAGATCTCACACACTTACTGTGTTCAACTGCTCACGTAGAAAATCTACTAGCTGCTGGCTTGACATGCAATCCCTGAAAAGAATTCAAAATCCAAGTGATTATTAGATATTTGAAATATGATCGACATTTGTATTGGCAAAAACGCTAATTCTATTGGTTTATAGGAAGAATTTAAGCAAGCTTGGGAGCTTTACAACAAACTACTTATACATAAACAAAGTCAAGCAGCATACAAACCCCAAAAATCCTCCCAATGTATCATTATAACATATACAGTTTTTTAACTTTTTAGTGTTGGGCAGGGGCGGGGGCAAGAAGCTTTGTTGCCAATCTTTAAATGCATCAAAATGAATAATTTTTTTCATTATTAAGTGAAAAATTATATCTATCACACAGTTCAGGTTTCTCAGAGTGTAATTCTTAACTGCTTGATTTGCTCAAAAATATTTTTCTCCAAATAATTCGGATGCGATTATAATCCAAATAGAGCACAAATAAAAACCTGCAATTCTAGAAAGAAACCAACTTGAAAGAAACCAAACTCATTTTTAAAATTCTTTCTATACCTATTTTAACCAATGTCTAGGACAATAGACACTTGGTAAATCATCGCAACTCACAATTATTTCCAAAATATCCCGATATTAACCAATGTCTAGGCCTGGAGGTCATCAAATGGCCTGCAAATAAAAAAGCCCAATATTATTCAATCCGCCCAACCCGTTCCAACCTGCTTAAGTGTCCAGCCCATTCCAATCCATAAAGATGATTTAAGGATTTGACAAAAGTTTGTTATCCAAGCCCGTCCATAAACTCGGCCCGTAACAGCCCACATGGGTAAGCCTAGCTCGACCATCCCATTAGCCTAACTCAAATTATCCCGTCCATATTTTTATTTATTTATTTTTGATATGTATCTAAAAAAATCTACACCGTTCAGTTCAAATTCAATCCATTAAATATATTAATAATTATATATATATGTATGATATTGAATGTGTACTTTTAGGCTGATGTTTGCAATTTTATTTTAATGTGTTAGTTTAAACTCGTGAGGTTTTTGAGGGAGGTAGCACACGATCAAATTCAAAATAGAAAAGGCCAACCTAGTTGGGTTTCTAACTTGTGTGATGTTAGTCCTTTTGTTTTTTTACCCCACTTGTCAGTATTTTAAATAAAATTACATTTCTTGATTGTTTTTTCATTATATGAGATGTAAAAAGGTAAAAAATTAAAAAAAAAACAAAACAAAAGGGAATGTGCTACAAGTGTACTTCCATTATATGACTAAAAAACAATTGGGGGAAAATCACAAAAGTACATAACAATATTATATATATATATATATATATATGGTACATACCCTTAACAGGGGGTGAAGAAGTAAAAAAGGAAAAGGTTGATGTGGGTCCTAGTAAGGACAAGAGACAAACTTCAATTTCTTCCACTCTTAATGAGATAGAATCTTGAGCTATTATACTTTCTTCATCACAGGATGAAAACAAGAGTAAACTTGAGGAGAAGACTAGCAGTCCATCCTACGACAATGAGATTGTTAAGAGGATGGAGAAGTCTTTCACTTCAAGGGAAGAGAACAAGAAGAAATTAGATAAGAAGATCAGATATTTACAGCTAGCAATGGAAAAAAGCTTTGCAAATCTGTCGATCAAACTGAAGAAGCCATGCTTCAAACCTTCAAGCAGAGGCCAAAACTTTCCAAAGCAAGGGCAAGGTGGAGATGCCAATGTTTCTTGGCTAGTTTTGCATACTAGCCTTTGGGTTTATGAGAGGATAGTCTTCTGTCTGTCTTTTGTATGTGACCTAGGTCCTTGGGTTGTGATTATGAGAGTCTTTGTAGTCTAGGTAGTACATAATGTAAGTTTCTGAATATTTCTGTATATTCAAATGTATTTTTGATACAAAGAGTACACTACTTATATAGAACTCTAATCCCTAAGACTAAAGGGGAAATAAGAATTACACAGAATATTTACACAATCACAATCATTCTAAATTCTTAAAATACAATATAGGCAATATATTTCTCACACATGACAGTGCCTCTCGGTCAGAGAAGATGCAGCTTTAAGGCATATCTTTATTTACCTGTTAGGGTTGTGTATTGAGCTTCATTTCACATCTCTATTATTTGGTAATAAAACTCATACCCAAAAAAATAAAAAAATAATAAAAAAGAAAGAAAGAAGACACCATCATCTGATGTCATGGTACAGAGTTCACCTACATTCTATTACGTATATTATAGGTGTGCCACCCACACAATTCAATACAGATTTTATATATCTCCGTCTGAGTTTCAACTAAATTCTAATCCACAGATTCATAACTAAAATGAAACTAACACAGACAAATCACTATCCAAATCAACTATAGTGGCAAATAAAAAAAACTTTGCAACATATGGAGAATGAAATCACACAGCTGCAAGAACAAGATGAAAATATATGGATGAGCGGAGGTAAAGGTTCAAAATTAAAACCTTTCAAGTAGTCACATATCAGGACATCCCTTGGCAGCTGCATAACTCTGGTTCTGCATCCCTCAGCAAAACACATTCAAGGCTCAAAGGTGGCCTGAAATCGAAGAATGCAGAGCCTAATTACAATAAACATACCAGTAGCTCATCATAAGCTCTCCTATTTGTTGTTAGTTCGATGCCAAGAATGAACACTTGTCTACAGCAAGAGAAAGTGGCAAACCCCAATATCATTACTAGAGATTTGGAAGCAAGGTGTACAAACTTCCTACTTCATCCCTGGAAAATGCAGGGGAAGCATCAATAATGTCCTTAAAACTACTACTTACATTGCCAAATGGTATGGACATAATCAGCTATTTGTAGGATGGAACCCACAAAATTTTCATATTATTGGTGCTTTCGTAAAACCCCAAAATTCCAAAAATTGAGGAACTTTACATACTCCACTTAACACAAAAGAGAAAAATACACAAACAATACAAGTATAGAGAAAACTATAAGCATTATCGCAATGGCATTTCCCCATATAATACCATCCTTAACAACAAAGATTATATCTGACACTGTGAATTTATGAAATCTAGTAACTATACATCTAGTCATCATTTGCAAATTTTAATCCACTAAGCATTCAAATATATTAGGAATTAATCAAGAGGATATCCAACTTTTTACTAATAAATGTCAAAACAGTAAACAGCCCAATAAATGTAAGATAAACAAGTTGAGTTCAGAAACTAGGTTCCGTAGCTCCATCAATTTTGTTAAATGGCCTTGGAATGAAATCATCTGTTTGTGTTTGCCATCTTAAAACAAGAAAAAAAAAAAATCAAATTAAAATAGGAATGAGTGTTTCCTTCTCTTACAAATTAAAATCATTTCATGATGTAACAGAAAAGGAAAACAATTCAAGCCCATTTAACCCAATAACATCATCGATTTGTAGTTCATTAAGCACATAAGTTTACAGAATTATATAACCAAAATAGAAGCAACACAAAAAAAAAACAAAACAAAACAAAACAAACAAACAAAATCTATCTGCTTCTTACAACGAACTACAATCACTATACCTAGGGTAAAACAAATTCTACGCATAGAAAATGAACAGAAAAGGGAGAGAATAAACTGGGGGGGAAGGGATTTCTTTTTTTCCCTGTCAACTAAGAGGCATGCTGGTAGCAGTAGAAACTAGGTTCCGTAGCTCCATCAAATGTTCATCATTTGATATATGGAGCGAAAGGCGAAGATTTGTCACCAATGTTTCTTGTTCCCAACTTAAGGGTCCCAATGCATGCAATGCCTCAATAGTGCAACAGTAGGCATGTAACTCTAACCTATGAATTTCTTCTGCCAATTCCACCTGACTGGGAAGGAAACAATTCCCTTCCTTAAAGCCCCTATGACAAACAGACTCAGCATCACTACAATTTCCTTCAGTATCTTCAACAGAAAAATTACAACGCAACTTAAAGGAATCATAGCTAGTAATGCTACAACTAGCCACATAGCATGTAATATTGTCTGCATCATTAGGTTCTAAGCTAATTGCATGCGAACACCCATCAGCTCCGCTTGGTTTCTCCCTCTCCACATCGACTTCAGTAAAGTGAGCTGTTCTGCTGTTAAAAGAAGTATAAAAGTTTTTTTCACCCTACATTTCTCGATGGGACAAAACAGCATCTATCTTTAAAGGGGATGGATTTGCAGCAAGCAGACGATGACACCTACCCTCTTTCGCAATTACTCTAAACTTCTGGGAAGTTCTTGCAGGTGCATCAACTTGAGAATAACAATCGGGCAATCCTCTCTTCAGAGTTCTGGAGGAAACAATATGTGATTCTTGGAAATTGTTATTGCTCTTAGCAGCACAAAGCTCCTTATTTACAGGGAAATTCATCCCTCTATTTGTTTTCTTAACTTGGGAACTCAATTGATTGTATTTCAGAGTTGACCGTTCACTGCATTTCCCATCTTCACAGTTACCAACACCCTGCTAGGTGTTGTTTCTTCATGTTCTGTTGTTATTGATGTTGATGATGATGATGATGATGGAGAAAGATCACCATTTCGAAAATCTGTTATAATCTCAAAGGGGAAAAGATCAATGAGAGAGAACATCAACCGCTGCAAGAATATAAGTTCTGTTACAGTCCCAGTTGATCAGATATCTGAGGTTGAGGCAACAATGACAAAGAAGCCTACCAAAATTCGATGGAAATTGAAGCCGCCTGACCAGTCCTTTGTATCGAAGCCTGCAAGATTCTCAGTTGATAGACATTATGGTGATGAAATCAAGAAGATGGTTCAGAAATCTGAGAAAGTTTGTTCAAAACAGCCACGCCATGATGGAGATTACAGTGATGATGAAGGAAAGGGCACGGCAAAGAAGAGGAGGATGATTGAAAAGGTGACTGTAGTTCCACCAGAATTGCCTGCTAAATTCAAGAATTACATCGAAAGACTGAATGGTACTGAATTAAATTTTGTGATTGAAAAGCCATTATACCGCACAGACCTTAGCCATACACATGGGCGTCTATCTTTGCCGTTGTGTCAAATCGATAATGGATTCCTTACGCAAGAAGAGAAGGACTTACTCAACACAAGAACTGGAAATCATAAGACACCAATTGAAGCCAAATTAATTGAACCGTCGGGCCACGATTCTGATATATGTCTTAAGAAGTGGGACATGCCTAAAAAATCAAACAAAGTGAGTACAACTTACAATCTTACAACAAGTTGGAATCGTGTTGTGAAGAACAATAGGCTGCGCGAAGGAATGATTGTACAACTTTGGTCATTTCGGGTGGGTTCAAAATTGTGGTTCGCTCTTGTTAAAGTGAAGAGGAATTAGGCCAAAACACGTCATAGGTGTAGTTGCTCCAGTGAATATGGAAGTTATTAATCAATTGAGATTATTTGTTATTTTTTGTAATTTTTATACATAAAAAATATTTCAATATAGTTATTCAACTAGGCATATTTTTCTTATTTTATATGTAGTTATTGAATGCTGTTATATAGGTAATTTGTCAACATGTTAACTGCCGAAAGTTTTGATTCTAATCTGATGTTGTTATTAATCAATTGAAATTATTTGTTATTCTTTTAAATGTACAAGTCAACTACTTCAATTATTGTCCAAAGCCATCAACTTAACCTTCTTGTTGTTTGATAATTGCTAAATTATAAACACGATTAACAGCATGCATGATCCCTAAAACTACATGTATCTTCTGACTTCAATCATTCAGAAACAAGAGCCCAAACAATGAAACAGTGATACAACATGATACAATAAAAAGAAAAAGATAAATTCATTCCAACACAAGGACAATAACAGAGGGGAAAAACAAAAGACGTTGCCTGGTTAGGTTAGGCTGTTTGAGAGGTGATTACATTTTATTAAGAGGAACAGAGAACCACCAAAGAATCAAAGCAAACAGAAGCAGAAAAAGTGGAATGAGGTGAATAACATTCCGAAATCCGATGATCAGACACGGGCTGCAGCAGGTCATCGTCATCAGTAGATGGAGATTTCACAGCCGGTGACAAGTTGACCAAAAATTCATCAGAGAATCGACTAGTGCTTGATGTTCTGTACATTCTTCTCTAGGAGCAGAAAAGGTCAGAAAAAAACAATGGGGCATAAAATTTGGAAGTTGAAGAGAGGATGAAATTGAAAGGGCAGTGAATTTATCAAGAAACAATGGCCATAAAAAATAAATAATAAATATTTTTTATAAAGAGTTACATAGAGGGAGCTTCAATGTAATTACATATGCATGTGATGGATCCAAAAATAAAGGGTGAAATATATGATAGTTTAAAGCATGGTGAACACCAAGGATGCATTGAAATATATAATAGTTTAATTGTAAAGCACACACTGACTCACTCTAATAACCCGAATACAGATCTGGATTCAAATTACTTCATGCCAGATTTTTCATATCTAATCGGATGTTTAAATTATTTTATAATCTGATTAGATTCGGATTATGCCAAACCGCTGATAGGCCTAAGCATATGCTAATTAGCAAATTAGAATATTTGTGAGAAGTGTACTGGCCCTCCATTGGACTTATTTTAACATAATAATGGTGCAGTGTAGAATATTGAGGGGTGCATAGAGGAGGAAGAAATTCAATTCTTCTAGCTTTGGCACCAAAAATATGATCACGAATACTTCAATAGAATGAAAAAATGATTATTGGCCAGCCACTCAAGCTGAAATCACTTTCACAAATTAAGTAGGAATTTAATCTTCACACCCCCACGTTGGAATGTGAACCATTTAAGAGTACCAAAAAAAAGTTCAAAATATATAAAATTTTCTTATCATTATTATAAATTCCTAACTAAACCAAACTCTCCAATAACAATAATATAGTAGGCAATAACGGCCCTCCATACCACTATCCTCCATACTTCTCCATACTATATTTTATAGATCCTATTCTAAGTCCACAACAATTATCTGAACCGTTCATCTCATTGAAAGCTATCTATGCAAAAAATTTCATCAAACAACAATAGACTTGTAATCAAATTACATTTTCTTTTCTTTATTAAAATAGACAGCAACTATGAGTTTAAACTTCAACAATTTATTTTATAAAATAAAATACAGTTTGTTCATCTATTCATCGATATCTTATGAAGCTGATTTTTTGCATAGATAGCCTTCACTGGGAGGTTTACGAAATGAATGGTTCAGGTCATAGTTGTGGGCTTAGAATGGAGCCTACAAAATAAAATATAAAAGAGTATTGAGGATAGTGGTATACAAGGCCCAACTCCCTTGCCACACTATCATTGTGGGTTGAAAATTGTGAGTAACAATTCTCAATTCTCAAATGCTGTACTATATATACATGAGCAAACTAGCTTTGCAATTGAGCAGGGTAATACTACAATTGCTAAAGACAACCTAAGATAAAGATCAATTGAATTCAAGTATCCACTATAACTAGAATTGAACATTCTATATTTCAGTGTGATAAAAATGTTTTGAGGAGATCAGCAAACAATTGCTATAATTCATATATTTCTTATACATAAAATTTGTCACACCCTTGGCCATTCCTTTTGAAAAAATAAATCCCTATAAGCACACAAAAATCGAAATTCTCAATAAATTAACAAGATAGTTTCTTGTTTTAGCACATTACAAAAAGACAGAAAAAAAGGGAAAGGAAAAAATAAAAAGCAGAGTGGAACGGCCAAAACAGCTCAAAAATTGATGCAGATACTCCCAGAAATAATTAACCCGAGGATGCAGTCAGCACAATAACTTACAAGGTATATGTCCCTCACATTCAGGCACTGAAACATAACAAAGACTTGATCAGAGAGATGAAACCATCCCCATAAATTGAATTAAATAACATTGACTAAATAAACAAATTATATAAAATAAAAATAATAAAAAGAAAAAAAAAAGAAAAAGAAAACAAACCAAAAGACATCAGAAAATAACACATTCACTAGCAAGCCCATTTGATAAAAATACAAAAATACAAAAATAAAAGCAAAAAGAGGAAGGGCACACAAAAAATGGTGCATTTAACACATATACCTACAATAAACTAAGTAGTTCTTGCAACGTATCCACTACAATAAACTACGCTAAGAATGCTTGATTGCGTTGGAAAGTTTGAAAGGCAGTAAATATATACCTCACACGACAGAACCGTAACAATTACAATGTCAGACCTATGAATGCAATTTCCCGACAAGAAAAGAAAAATAATACAAGTGTTGCAACCTAAGAAGCACAGGCACCAACACAACAGATACCGACACAAATTTCTCTCTCAGAAAATGCAAACATGAGAGGGACATCCAAATTATAGTAATACATATTTATGTCATATATATATATATATATATGAATATTTCATTCAAAAATAATAAAAATACAACATAACATTAATTTCTAAAGTTTAAAGGATGGGGGATTAATATGTATAAATCTGTAGTACTTTCATCATTAGATCTCAAGTTATTTTGTTCAGACTCCTAATATATTTCATGTGTTTCAGCAATGAAGACACGTGTCCCCCAACGCAAGTGTGTAAAGAATGTCTTAAAGTGTTCTATGCTTCTTAGGTTGCAAACTTTCACTACAAAGTGGAAGAGGGCCCTTTAGCAGTGGATCCTTCACTTTCCCTTGTTCCTTCTGTCCAACTACAGTGGTCAAGAATCATGCTGCAGGTTTAAATTCAAAATTTTCTCAACTGTATATCTTGTAATTTGTAAACACTGATAGAGGCCCAAAAACTGACCATAACTGACCCGATTCAATTGGGTTTCTCAGTTAACTCAAATTTAACCAGAAACAAATTGGTTGTGTTAGGCTTAGAAGATCTAGAACGTGATCAACCATAAGTTGTTATTGAAGGCAGCAATCTGGAAGATAGCGAGAGTTCACGGTGAAACTAGTGACCCAGCAACAAACACAAGCTAGTTCAGGACTGAATGCTATGAATTGGAAGCTTTATTAATATGTGATTGAAAGGTTCTTGAAGGCATAGGAACGACAGCGAATCATGGTAGCAAAACCTCCTAGCAAATAAACATATGCACACCATGTATTGTATGTCTATATAATAATCAAGGTGCTAAAAAGGCATACCAGTATACTTGCTAACAATATCTAATTTCTTCCTCACTCTATGTAGAATTTATTTCTGAATGGCGGAAGCAGCATGCCAGCAGACTTTTTTATCTCATAACTGAGCTCAACCTCCATCAACCAATGGTTTTCTTTGGAACGATCCATTGAGAAATTAATGTTCAAATCGTCACCTTCACTAACAGATATAGGAGGATGCAAGAGAAACACCTGCACATAACATGAGAGAAAATGTTGGAACAAAACCATGTATTTTCTTGTTTTGTAAACTCTCTCCAAACTCAAGTTGGTTAGTTCCTATCCTCCTTGAGTTTGCGGGGGGCTGTTAGAATTTACCATAATATATCATCACCTACCACCTCCACTCAACTCACCTACCACACACACTCACCTACTCCCCAATCCTCTCCTATCCTCTCCTATATAATTAGTACCTCACCATCTGTAATTTACACATCAATACATCAATCAATATCAATCAGATATCAATCAATAATACATTGAATTTTAACAAATCAACATAGCAACAACATTTCACTACATGACACATGCACAGATTAATAGCCGTTAAAGCTCATCACCACAGAGTGTCTAGGCATTGGAGGGTGGTGTTGAGAGTGGCACTGCCACTGTGGACTTCAATGAGGTTAGAAATAACTGGAGTAGCAGAAGTGGAATAAAGAATTAGTAAGGCACAGAATCAGTTTGAAGTAGAGGAAGAGTTTGATTGTGGAAGAAATGGTTTGGTTCATTGGGTTGAGACTTCTAAATGGGAGCCAACAAAGAATTAGAATGATGGTAGGATCAACTGAAACCTCCATGGATGAATAGGCTGGTTCGGGGTGGGGGTGTAGGAGCTGCAGCCTGTAGTGACAGAGACAGCTCCTAGACGTCCTTAGTGACAATGGTGGATTGAGCATGTTCAACAATCGATTTCTTTGAAGCCGTGATCGCAAATGCCACTCACCAGTGGAATTGTCACTGTAGATTAGATTAAAGAAATTTCATCGAAGAAGTAGCAAAGCACATCAGAGGCACCAGAGATTATAGTGTTTGAGGGAGAGAAATGGAGCAGTCCAACAGAGAATCTGGAGGTAAACGGCGCGCTATCCAACAGAGAATCTAGAGTTAAACGGCATGCCTGCACACTACCTCTCAGCCAAGGTTATGAGGTACATGGTGCAAGTCCCATGAGAAGTAATCACTAGGTGTGG